TTGCTTTGCTTTTTTTCTTTGGAGGGGGGGCAGGGGGGTAGAAATGGTACACGTTAAATATATTGAAACCACTACTTTGCTCTTTCCTCCTCCTCCTGAATCAAGAGATAAATTTTTTTTTGCATAAATGAAAACCAAGTAGTGTTTGAAGTAATCTTCTCTAGCATGCAATTTTTAGATGGCCAGCATAAAATACCACCTCTTATATAGCACAGATTTCTTCTGTACCATGTGAGCATGCTTAAAAAAATATGGTATTATAAAAATTTTCAGAACTCATTTAGAAAAACCTAAAAAGCATAATAATGGCTTCACAACTCATAAGTGATGCAATCTTCCTTCACTTTTCCTAATAAAAATAAACATCTTTAAATACCCAAACATTTAAATTTATTATATAAAAGACATGTATATACACACACGTTATCCCCTACATAAAAAAATAAGTTAACATTGCACCTCTTTAGTGAACATTAAACAAATGAAGTTACTTTCATAAGGTTGATTGTGTTTCACTCTTTAACCTCACAGCACTTAGATCTTGACTATACACTACTATTTTCTCTTACATCAGTCTAGTCAGTAAATTTCACCATATTACTATCTTCACAAAACTAAAACAAGCACAGAAGTAATTTCAATATAGAAAACACTGTACTGGATGCAGATCCTGAACTAAATATAAATACATAATATAAATCAACATGCACATTAAGACATTACGATTCTACAGCACAGATATGAATGACAAAATTAGTGCATGGAGGAGAGTGTTTACACTTGAAGGAATATTCACGACAACAATATTTGTATCAAGCGATGATGGCTCTCTCAAGGGGTTTGTTCCCCTTCCACAGGGAAGGACTACTGCAGATGAGGGAAATGCTGAAGAGGTGTTCCCTTAGTAACTGCAGATGAGAGAATTCCAGATTTCTGCTTTTACCTGCATCAAGCTCTCATACATTAGTATTTAGCTTCATAACATTGAAAGACTGCCAGAATACTGACATACAGTTTTCTGCACTAGCAATTAGCTTACCCTTGCATTTTATCAGTCATCCTTGAGAACAGAGGAGTTAAGTGTTGCAGTCAGCACAGCATTTCAAAGCAACATTTATGAGGCTTAATGCAGTGGGAAGCCAAAGTACTTCTCATTATTTAGGAGGTACTGTAGCATAGGAAATACACATATCAGTGATAATATGGTGTATGATTAATGTGCATCATTAGAGAGAGATGTAATGGAAATACATAAGTGTTCTATAACAAAATATGCGCTAGCAAACCCAAATCAATCATTAATCTGCAAAAATGTACATGGCACAATAAATGCTTTAGTACTGTAAATTTATAATTTGTACTAACTGGAATATTACCAAATTAATGTTCACCTCTCGCCCTCCCCTGAGAGATTCATATACAAATTTCAGCTCTATAGAGGTTATAAAATTCTTAACTCACTATTTCAGAGAAATAGCAGAACAAGAGAAAGGACAAACAGACATTTAGTTGAAGAATAGTCTACCAGACAGACAAGACTGCAATTTCAGTCTTATGTCAGAAGAAAGAAAACATTACAATATTTACCAAATGTTGCAGTTAAAAATAAGGGGTTCTGTAGCAGCAATAAGAATGATTATACAGTACCTTACCCTTTCTACCGGTGAACCATAGCATGCAATGACGAAACATAGCAGTAGCAGATGGCATTGGAGTTAGTAAATGTGAATAAAGCGATAATAGCAGAGAAATGGTGACTGGCAGACAAAACACAGAAATGCAGATGAAATGAAAGCAAACTTGTAGATCTTGAAGCAAAGCGCCACCTGTAAGTCAAATTTTCTCTCTACTCTCCTCACAATGGAGTTTCAAGTTCTACATTAACAGAAACTGCAACCTCCCACACCGGTCTGACGGCTCCCTCCATGTAGAGAGGCACATCTTGACAATGAAGATCACCAATGGTTTTGCCAAAACAACCCATCAGCAGAAACCCATTATTCTCTCCCCCTTGACTGATTTATCCTTTAAATTTTTAATTGTCAGAACCTGCCAAAGCTACAGTCTTTTCTAGCACATATGTTTCCACTGCAGATTTAAATCCTTGCCTAACCTACAGCACCCCTGGATCCAGAATGTTCCCCGAGTGCTCATTCAAACAGTTCAATTGCCATTTTTTTCATATCATCCAAACAACAGAACAATATAGCTATCAGCAGGCAGATCAATTATAAGAATAAAAGAACCTCTTCTTTCAGCTTACCCTGGAAATGGAAGGTTTTCTGATCAACAGTTATTGTGAAGGTGCTGTCGTCCTCATCGTCTATACCAATCACAGCTCCCTGTGAAACAAAGAGGAAAAATCCTGATAAGGCAAACAGTGACATCAGCAGCATCCACTCTATCACTACACGACCAGAATGTAAAACACATTGACAAGTTAGCAGCAAATCAGATATTCTAAACCAGAGGACAAAAATGTAAAAGAAAATATTTGCCATCTCAATTAGAGGAATCAAGCCGAACATTAACACCCCCGTACTTCAATCCAGAAACGCAATTGTTTTTAATATACAAAAAGGCATCAGGATTTTTCTGAATAAGCATATGCTGTACGTATTTTTGTTCTTCTGATAGTTTGCAATGCACAACAAAACAAGCCCTATTCCGTTTCGTACTGTGATGCTTTAAAAGCAAACTGAGGAACAATACATCACAGCACCTGTTATAATCAGGGATCCAGGTTTTCCGTTTCCCACAGAAAAACAGAGAAAAACATGGATTCCCTGTTTTACCAAAGCAAAACGCGGATTTCTCATTTTAGCAGAGAAACCCACAGATTTTGCACTTTTGCAAAGAGCTCTCTGCAGGCTGGCAGGGCTCCAGCCAATGAAGAGGCTGGGAGGAAGCAGGCAGGTGGCACCAGGTATATACACGGCTCCTTGCAACCTGGAGAGCAACTCCCATGGGTAAGTATGTGTGTGTGGAGGGGGGGGCCAGCCAGCGAGGAATTGAAGCCCCCTTAGGGAAGGAGGGAGGAAGTTGGGCAGGGCTGGGGCTGCTGTCCAGCCCAGCAGTGCATGGGGCTTGGGACCCGGCAGGGAGCAAGGTGGGGTTTG